GCAACATTTACCGACGAAAATGTGTCGCTAAAAGTTTACTTTTGCCCACTCATATTGTGTTGGTAGAAGTGTATTTTTTGCCAATGTCAATTTGTCGTTGCCAAAAGTAAAGCTTTATCAACAACCAAATCGTTGGCAAATGGCAACATTTACCGACGAAAATGTGTCGCTAAAAGTTTACTTTTGCCCACTCATATTGTGTTGGTAGAAGTGTATTTTTTGCCAATGTCAATTTGTCGTTGCCAAAAGTAAAGCTTTATCAACAACCAAATCGTTGGCAAATGGCAACATTTACCGACGAAAATGTGTCGCTAAAAGTTTACTTTTGCCCACTCATATTGTGTTGGTAGAAGTGTATTTTTTGCCAATGTCAATTTGTCGTTGCCAAAAGTAAAGCTTTATCAACAACCAAATCGTTGGCAAATGGCAACATTTACCGACGAAAATGTGTCGCTAAAAGTTTACTTTTGCCCACTCATATTGTGTTGGTAGAAGTGTATTTTTTGCCAATGTCAATTTGTCGTTGCCAAAAGTAAAGCTTTATCAACAACCAAATCGTTGGCAAATGGCAACATTTACCGACGAAAATGTGTCGCTAAAAGTTTACTTTTGCCCACTCATATTGTGTTGGTAGAAGTGTATTTTTTGCCAATGTCAATTTGTCGTTGCCAAAAGTAAAGCTTTATCAACAACCAAATCGTTGGCAAATGGCAACATTTACCGACGAAAATGTGTCGCTAAAAGTTTACTTTTGCCCACTCATATTGTGTTGGTAGAAGTGTATTTTTTGCCAATGTCAATTTGTCGTTGCCAAAAGTAAAGCTTTATCAACAACCAAATCGTTGGCAAATGGCAACATTTACCGACGAAAATGTGTCGCTAAAAGTTTACTTTTGCCCACTCATATTGTGTTGGTAGAAGTGTATTTTTTGCCAATGTCAATTTGTCGTTGCCAAAAGTAAAGCTTTATCAACAACCAAATCGTTGGCAAATGGCAACATTTACCGACGAAAATGTGTCGCTAAAAGTTTACTTTTGCCCACTCATATTGTGTTGGTAGAAGTGTATTTTTTGCCAATGTCAATTTGTCGTTGCCAAAAGTAAAGCTTTATCAACAACCAAATCGTTGGCAAATGGCAACATTTACCGACGAAAATGTGTCGCTAAAAGTTTACTTTTGCCCACTCATATTGTGTTGGTAGAAGTGTATTTTTTGCCAATGTCAATTTGTCGTTGCCAAAAGTAAAGCTTTATCAACAACCAAATCGTTGGCAAATGGCAACATTTACCGACGAAAATGTGTCGCTAAAAGTTTACTTTTGCCCACTCATATTGTGTTGGTAGAAGTGTATTTTTTGCCAATGTCAATTTGTCGTTGCCAAAAGTAAAGCTTTATCAACAACCAAATCGTTGGCAAATGGCAACATTTACCGACGAAAATGTGTCGCTAAAAGTTTACTTTTGCCCACTCATATTGTGTTGGTAGAAGTGTATTTTTTGCCAATGTCAATTTGTCGTTGCCAAAAGTAAAGCTTTATCAACAACCAAATCGTTGGCAAATGGCAACATTTACCGACGAAAATGTGTCGCTAAAAGTTTACTTTTGCCCACTCATATTGTGTTGGTAGAAGTGTATTTTTTGCCAATGTCAATTTGTCGTTGCCAAAAGTAAAGCTTTATCAACAACCAAATCGTTGGCAAATGGCAACATTTACCGACGAAAATGTGTCGCTAAAAGTTTACTTTTGCCCACTCATATTGTGTTGGTAGAAGTGTATTTTTTGCCAATGTCAATTTGTCGTTGCCAAAAGTAAAGCTTTAGCGACAAACAAATCGTCGGCAAATGGTAACATTTACCAACGTAAATGTGTCGCCAAAAGTTTACTTTTGCCGACGCATATTTTGTTGCTAAAAGTATATTTTTTGCCCATGCAAATTTGTGTCGCGAAAAGTGCCACACAATCATCATATTTGAATGACTTTTACCGACGCAAGGTAAATTGCCGACGATGGATGAAGGCTTTTACCGACGACTATGTTCGTCGCTAAAGGCATTACTTTTACCAACGCAATGATAATTTCGTCGGCAAAAACTTTTGTCGACTCACTTTTGCCTACGGGTTGCCAACGTAGCTTTCTGCGTCGGCAAAACTCTTTGCCAACGAATTTTCCCTTTTAGCAACATATTTTCTTGCGTTGCGAAAAATGTAATTTCTTGTAGTGATGGAAGGCATATGCATTATCTCTGCGATATGTACAGAGGTTTCAGATTCTCTGTAATCAGACAACAATATGATGATATTACAATAGAAAACTCCTAATCATTATCAAGTTCACATCATTCAATAATTTGGCAACAAGAAGAAAACAAATAAAATGATTGCATATTCACTAAGAAACATAAACTTAAAAACTATAGGTAAGAGGCAACCATACTAGTGATCAACAAGTAAAAAGTGACACGCACAATGAGCTACAAGAGGACCTGTCCAACTTTGAGAGGACCGTATTCGTTGGCTTTTGAAATACTCTCGCTATTGGCATTCCATCACCATCCTTACCCCCGACCCTCCATGACCGGTATTTTTTCCTCTGAGGCTTCCTGTGCTGTTTATGAGATGCATTTTCATGCTTTTTCTTCACAGGGACCTTCCCAGAACATAATCCATTAGCCATGTCAAATGAATTCAAATAATTCAATTCATGCTCTAAATTGGGTGGGCTTTCTTCATCTTCACTGCTTGGAGGGTTTTCGATATCAGATGAATCTGATTCATGCATCTCAGATGAGCTTGGTGCATCTGCAACCTCCTGGCCAGCTTCATTATTTGACATTCTTGGGGGGCATTTCAAAGTGAGGCAGCTTCCCATCAATGTAATCCTTCAAGAACAACACAAAGCTATGAAGCATACTGGTGAAATAGTGTGAAAGCATTTGATTGGTTCATCTGAAATAGGAGCATATTACCTAGGTGACCAATCCACCATTGCTCATGCATGTAGATATCCTTGGTTCTCCCTGTAGTGGTGTTTGAGTTTCCACACTGGATTCTTTTGGTATATTCAAGGAATGCACTGTGTGGGTCGGCTGTAATTCTTTGGAAACACTCGCTTTTGTAAATGGCAACCTTGAAGCAAGTGTTTAACCCAAATCGATTGCACTGTTCGCAGAACCAAAGAGTTTCAGGTACAAATCATTAACCGCCATGATAAGGGTATTCATGAAAAAACTATAACCATCATCTGTTATATTGCCATGTAAGTGATTAACATGAACTTCATCCAAATGGGGTTTCACATAAAATTTCATAAACAATTGCCCAATTAAGATTAAAGTATTCAAAAGGAATGGAATTCTTAGTTCAATAAGCTAAAAAGCTTCTCTCAGAGAGGCTTCAATTCGATACTCAGCTTCGTAGCTTTCTGTTTGAATCAATTTTGAAGCCATGGTGTTGTCCTCTTTGTTTTTTAGTGGTACTCTTGTTTTGTTCTGTTTGGGTCTTTTTTATTCTCTGTTCCTTTCTCTTTTCCTCTTTGCTTAGTTCTCTTATTGGCAGATCCAAAAAAATAAAAAATAAAAATAGATCATTTAATCACCAGAGGGAAACTAAATTTGTCAAAATCAAATCAAATATGAAAGGGGGAAACAAAATGAGAAACATTTACCAAAGGTCCAAAACACTAAATATTTTAGATGCAGTTAGCCCCAAACTAAGTATAATAAATAATATTCTCTACTATTCCAAATATTATATCAACATAGTTGTGGATTTATAATCCTTGGGAAATTTAAGTATTTGTTAAGCAACAAGCCCACTTCCTGTGATTATGCATGTAGTGCTAATAGCTAATGCCATTCTTTATAAAATTACCTGGCTATGGCACAACGAATTTGTCCAGGTTAATAACCAGCAGATTGGGTTGCAAAGATTGTGAAGATTCAAATAAAAAACACTTCATGAGGAAATGCATCTGCCACGTAAGCCTACATAATTAAATCCTTTACTGCTAATGTCTTTGAGCAAATAACAAGAGAATCTCTGAAGGAAAGAATGTTATAATTAGATAGTTATGAAATTCTGTCACATTTAAAGGCAAAAGCATCATTGCATTGGTATTTTCATGTCCATTTTCTTAGTTGAATTCTATTAGCAACACAGAGTACATACAATTTGCTGTCTAATGGTGAATTATGTGAGGAGGTGCTTGCCACTCTAAATTGTTTTCTCTATGAGTATCATTCAATCAAAAAAGTTTCTTAAACAATCAGACTGTTTTAGGTTATTGATTAATGAACTTGTTCAAACCAATATGGAGACTGGACAAGGCCTCAATTTGAAAAAATAAAAAATAAAAATAATCAGCCCCCTTGAATATTATTTATAATAGCGTGCATAAATTAAGAAGAAATAAGAGTTTTTTCTTAATTTTTTCCCCCTATTTGGGAGAAGCTTTGTCTAAAATCAGTGCCAATACAAACAAAATCAAGCAAGATCCCTTTGGAATTACTAGGTTCATGCTTTGTTGTAAAGATTTGTATATGACTGAACCAGTAAGTAGAAAACTAATATTGTTTTGCTGAGCAATCGATCAAAAAGTAGAAGAATAAGATGAGATTGAGAATTTACTACTAAAGGGAAATAGTTATTTCAAGTGGACCTTGATTGGTATTTAGCCTTGACTAATCACCCCAAAAATAAAGCAAAAATAAAAAAAATTTAAAAATCATATTCAAAGTTAATGTAGCAGAAAAGTGTTGATCATTCATGGGTATAATTGGGAGGACCTCAAACAAGAATCAAACAAAGTCCCCTTCAAATGATGTTTTTGCATTCCACAGATACAAGATAATTAACTATGGAACTGAGAAAAATTATAAATTAATCAACATCAACTTTAATTAAACATGTTGTACAAAGAGAAGGGAAGGTATCTTCCAGTACTCATCAAATTTTATCTCTCCCTCTCTATTTGTGTGAATTCTGTAACTTCTGTGATGAAATTAACAATCTATGGTAGAATAGACAGAATGATTCCACTGATGTGCCTCTTGAATCAGACATAGTATTGTTTCCATGGCCTACCAAGAAACCACCAGTTAAAAATGCAAGGAACCTCACCTGCTCATTTTGGGCACCAGCATAAGCATGGCCCAGACCCATTATTGCACCGATTCTGACAGAAGAATCCTCTGTATCTATATAATCAGCAAGAAGTGCCAATGCCTGAAAAAAGAAAATTTAGGATTTCCAAATACATAACAGTCACAGACTTGTGTACAGAAAAATGCCAAAGTATAACTCACACGATCACAGTCATTCTTGATACCGCAGTTCACAATACCAACTCCCAACAATGCACCGGCTATGACATGGTTGTCATTACTGTGGAAATACTAGTCAAGTTGGGCAAGTCCAGAATCAACATCCCAAAGCAGAATCATACCCTATAAGGAAAAATGGTGATAATCCAGCAATAAAGAAACTTGGACCAGCAAATAGACTGAAAGGGGAGGGGAACATACCAGACTTGCTGCAGCACTGGCTTTTCCGTGTTCTTTATTCTCAACCTTTACAATTTCCTTCTTTGGCAAAAAGCCAAAATGAAATTTGTACATCTAGCGTAGTTTATATGCATCGTTAAAATAAAACTTACTCTCCAAACAATTATAAAAGGAGAGACAACCTAAACATTTTCTTCACTTGAATCCTTCAAAACAGCTATTAAAAGAAGCCTTTTAGTTTTGTTGTTTGTTGTTGCAGTAACACTAGAGGGTAAGGTTTAATAAACTTCATATCAGCAGGACTGCTCCATTTTACACTAGAGGGTAAGAGTCTCTCTCTCATTTTACTTGTTTCTTCCAACCAGGACTGCTCCATATCAGCAGGATGCAGTGGTGGTGGGTCTATAGGCCACAATCTGTGGGTTGGTGCAGACCCATATTCTTCATCCTACCCAATGGTGACCAAATACCAACCAGTGGCCCGATTTAAGAATTCTCTTAATTAGAGGTATAGATTACAAGGATGAGTGCACTGTGGCATTAGTTTGCTCGTGGAAGATAAGGAGTTCCATTATGCATAAAGACTACTATATTATTCTAATTTGTTAACCACAAGTCTAACAGATATCTTAATACAGTTTTCAACGTTCATATAATATTCAAATTCATTATAGGCTATGAACATATAATATAAATGACAAAATATAGCATGCATACACAGTCTAGTCTAAAAATAAGAATATACTAGTTGTTACCTTTCCTTCAAGATGCATGCTTGACAGGTGCACCACATTCCGCAACCCATTCTCTTCCAGCAAGTATTGCACTCATATCATCTACAGTTCGAAACTTCATCCCCAACTCCAAAACCTACATTTAACCAGAGTAGAATATGATATATGCACATGAAAACTCACCTTATAATATGATATATTCTCTTTGGAATCTAATACTAAATAGGGTAACTTTACCTCTTGCTAGCTACATATAGCAGAAATATTCCAAGTAATATGAAAGTAACTTAGCAATATCTTAAATGATATGAATAGTAGGCATGTAAGCTCAACAAAGCCAGGAGGTTGCAAGGCTTGAGACAGAGTAGTGACAAGCAGAGAGGAATAAAACTTGAAAAATACAAAAACAATTCTTAAAAATAAAAATAAAAAAGTTCTTATGCTGTCCCAACTTACTTCACAACATAGCACCATTCAACGGATTGAAATTAGAACCTAATGACATCACAAACTTTCCAACATAGCACCATTTAACCAGTGGTTAACAAATTCAACAAAATTTCCATGTTAAGAAAAAATTTCAAAAAAAAAAAAAAAGCAAAAACATTTATTTAAAAAATCATAATGTGATCTTTGTTTATTATTATTTTTCATAATTTTGCAAAACCTCACTTGGTTGGAACCTTATGCTCCCTAAGAATAGGATACACTTGTTCATGGTAAGATTAATTCGTTTAACATTAATTTAATAATTCTTGATTCCCTTTGAGTTTGCTTATGTATTGTACACCTGTTCCCTTCATGAAAATATATAGGTAGGAAAGATCAATTTAAATATGCTTATAGTAATGAAGCCCAAGCTCAAGGCCACTATACACAAGCCTCACAACTTTTCTTGATTTTCCTTTTCTTGAACCCTTATGAAACTCAGTTCCATACTTGGCAATGGGAATAAAACTCAGTATTGACTATATATTGGCGTATTTAAAATTATAAAAAAAATGAAATCCCAACCTATATGTCCTATTTACGTACATGTCCTAACTCCCAACCAACATGTCCTATGTACATACCGTCTGTTCATACAAGTCGTATTTGGCACCGGGAAGCTTCCCGTTACATCACAACAGTGGTTGGGGGCTGTTTTGCATTTTCATCCCCCAAACGCCTTTTTTCGACTAAGTTTATGACATTTTCAACTCTAACTCCTAACCTACTTGTCCTATTTACATGTCGTCTGTCCCTACATGATTATTATTGACTAAGGGAAGTCTTCAATCTAAAATAATGATAATAGAAAGCCTGCTAAATCTTACAAGTACAGTGGTCCAATCACCATGTTCGTTCCTATGTTTCTGTGGACTGCATTTTTAGCAGCCAGCTCACAGGAAAAAAAAATTAAGTGTTAAAGCAACTAGAATCATATATTCATGTCTCGATGCAAATTCTCAATTGCTAATTGAAAATGTGTTTGAAAAGTATGAAACTTAGAAGCACATAACCAAAGAAATGCTCTGTAATCAAGATTCCAAAAGAAAGAAAAAATGATAGAAAAAATGATATTTCTAACCTTCTGATAGCACACCAACAGAGAAAAAAAATTTGATAGTAGACCAACATAGAAAAAACGATATTTCTAACCTTCTGATAGCAGACCAATTTGATTTATGTGACTCGTGAATTTGTAAAATATGTGCTAAAATATCTCTCTTACATTATTGAAGCAGAAATTAGAGTGTGAAATTAATTAAAAAAACAGAAAAAAGAGTCATCTAAACACACTTTCATTATCTGACCTATCAAAAAAATATGTGATTTGAGGAATTCCACTAAAAATACTGTCCAATCTTGACAACATGTGAAAGACATACCTTTGAATGTAAGGATATGGCAAGCATAACTAAAAGCAAAACTGCAATCCACAAGATGAAAAATATGTTAAGAGTGTATGAAGGTTTGGGGAGATAAAGTGAATACATCATCCCAATTCCATACGCAGAAGCAATGTAAAATAGTGTTGAAGTAAAAAATCCAAGCAAGCAACTGTGAACACAAACAAAATGAAATGTTAGAAATTCATAGTTAAAAGTTAAAAACAACATGAGAACTATAAGTTGATGCAATTATGATTATAATTTATACTCATAGACCTCAAGATTGATGAAATACCAAGTTAAGGCAATTGAAGAAGCAATAACAAAACTAAACCAAAATCAGCTAAAATAAGAAATTCATGTCTTTTTCCTTTATATGATGCACGTGTGAGACTTTAATTGCCTGATTAAGTGGATATTCATGACTATAACAAAAGAGGTAGCTTACCCAGGAAAACAACAAACAAAGGATGGCTTTGTTAACATTAGTTTTGCACTCCATAACATTTAGAGCTCTCATGGAAACAGAATCTAACCTCACGTAGCTGTGAAGATTGTACTGTCAAATACTATAACTTCCATAATTTCTCTCATCAGCAAGTAGTTGTACATAAGATAGCAAAGAACCCAAAGCCCCAAGTGAAAATTCAAACCCAGAAACATCCCTTAAGTGGTTCGGGGGCTGTCTCATTTACATACCATTGGTTCCCACAACTTCTTCATATAGTTTAAAATCCAAGTTCCATTTGAAGATAAAGGTAACAATGTCAACACTTAATAAATACTAGCATATAGTCAAATTCCAAATTATTTAGAATCATATTGTCAAAATCTAGATTATTAAACTCTATAGTGGCTGAATGTTACATATTTACAATAAGCAAAATTGACGGCTCTAAATGTTAGCATCAGTTTTGTTACACAGTTTCAGAGCAAACGTAACTTCATACAAATACAAGGCAATTAAATCAAAATGTTTAATCTCAGATCATGCTTTTTATACCACATTTAAAATAAATACTTGGTGCTTTTGATTGTCTAGGAAAGGAAGGTTTGAGAAGGGGTTTCAAGAATGGATTTTGCAGATATGGAGGTAAAGACGGGAAGAGTGAAGGAAACCATTTGCCCACTATATGAATGGCAGTGGCTAGGTTGATTTAGGGGTAGGTTTGTGTGAATAAGGTATGCGGATAAAAGAAGAAAAAACCCTATAGGTCGAAATTAGGGGAACAGGGATAGATATAGAGATACATATATATATGTATATATATATTTAAAAAGAGAGAGAGAGAAAGACAGAAACTGAGAGGGCAAACCTTGGCTAGTGCCCCAATGATGGATCGTGACTACGAGATAAGATGATATAGGTTGTTGGTTTACGATGGTTCTCGTGTGCGACGGGCGTCGACGCTGATGGTGCTCTTGTACCAACGGCGATAGAGACAAAAGCGAGAGAGAGAGAGAGAGAGAGAGAGAGAGAGAGAGAGAGAATTAGAGCTGGGCAGATGCGAGAGAGAGAATCAGAGGAGGGCAGATACGAGAGACAGAGAAAGTCGCAGACTGAGAGAGTCATAGAGTGGGAGAGAGACAGACATGTTTTTAAGCCCTAAGTCATAGAGTGAGGTGAGATGGGGTGAGGTTTGGTGGTGAAGGAGAATCTGTATGAGAGAGAGAACAATCTGATTGGTTTAAACAGAGAACAAGCGGGGGCAATTAAATGGTTTCCCTCTAAAATTTTCATGCCTTTGGCGACAAAATTGATTTTTGGTCAGCAAATGTTATTATCTGTGACCAAATATTTTAGTCACTGAACATTTTTTCATTTTTACTTTTCTTTTTGTCTTCCCTCTTCGACTTTTGCTGACCAAATTTCAATTTGATCGCAGAAAATTATATTTTGGCAAGTAAAAAAATATTAGTCAGCAAAACTCCAAACCTTTATCGGGCGCTATCAGTATAAATTAAGTATAAGATGAAGATCACAGAAGCAAAGTTCAGCAAGGCAGCTTCAAGAATCTTGATCGGGCACTACCAGTATAAATAAAGTATAAGATGAAACTATAAGATAAAATTTAAGTGTTATGAATTTTAGGCTTTCACAACCCCCCCCAAAAAAAGAAAAAAAGAAATTACATGTTCCTTGAATCATTTTATAGAAAGAGAGGGATATTTATACCTCAAATTGTTTTTAGGGAGAGTTGAAGATGCTCTAGAAAATGGGGATGGTGAAGGCCTTGGTGGGTGAGACATTGTAGAACAAAATTACTTTAGTCAAAGAGAAAACAAAGACAGAGAGAGTCACATAATAGGAGAGACAGATATTAGGGGAAAAGAGGTAGAGAGAGAGAGAGAGAAAGAGAGAGAGAGAGAGAGAAGGCAAAATAGAGAGGACTTACTCGAGTAATGCTCCAATAGTTAATCGACGGTGGTGCTCAATGGCAGTGATGCTCCTTACCTGACGACGATGGAAACAAAGCGACAGAGATTCAACATCAAGAGGAGGGCAATCAGCGTGAGAGAGAGAGAGAGAGAGAGAGCAATGGAATGAGAGATAGAGGCGTGAGAGAATCGAAAGAGGGTAGATGCGAGAGAGAGAGAGAGAGTCATAGAGTGAGAGTGTGTGTGAGAGAGAGAGACGTGTTTAAGCCCTAACTCATTTTAGTGTGTTTGAAATCCCTCCAGAGTTCCTCACCAAATTAATTTAAAAATCCCTTCAAAATGATAATAAATAAAAAATAAAATTATAATGATAAATAATAATGATAATGATGATAATAATACTAAAAATAAACATAAACTCAAATTGGGCGGTATGTGTTCCCACCAAAATAATTGAGTTTTATTGCCGACTAAATGTGTTTTAGTCACCAAAAATGTATATTTGCCGACCAAATGAGGTAGTCACCAAAGGTTAAAAATAAAATTATATAGATATTTGGCAACTAAATTTCTTTTAGTCGGCAAAAGTTGGTATATGACGACTAAAATTTATTTAGTTGCTGGAAATAAATTTTTGGCGATCAATCTTTTAGTCGCCAAAAAATAAAAGTAAATTTTTGTTTTCCATTCGGCGACTAAATAAATTTAGTAACCAAAAGTAACTATACAACGACTAAAATATTTATTTAGTCGCTGAAAATAAATTTTTGATGACCAAACTTTTGGTCACCAAAGATAAAAAGTAAATTTTTATTTTTCATTATTTTAGTCGTTGAAATTAAATTTTTGCCGACCAAACTTTTAGTCGCCAAAGATAAAAAGTAAATTTTTATTTTTCATTTAGCGACTAAAATATTTTTTAGTCGCTGAAATTAAATTTTTGACTTGGTGACTAAATAATTTTAGCTGCCAAAACTATCTATACAACGACTAAAATCTTTTTTAGTCACTAAAAATAAATATTTTGCGACCAAACTTTTGGTTGCAAAAAATAAAAAGTTAGATTTTATTTTTTATTCGGCAACTAAATAATTTTAGTAGCCAAAACTAACTATACAGCGACTAAAATATTGTTTTAGTCGCCAATTGTGGCAAATTTAGTGACTAAATTTTTTTTAGTCGCCAATTGTGACATTTTTAGCGATTATTTTTTTTTAGTCGCTAATAATCAATATACCCTGACTAAAAAAATTTAGTAGCTAAATATTGTACTTTTACCGACTAACATAATTTTTGGTCGCCAATTCCATAACTTTTGGTGACTAAAATATTTTTAGTTTGCAAAAGTGGTTGCCAAAAGTGTATTTTCTTATAGTGTACAAGAACCAAATTATATAATAAATTATACAAAGATTTCCCAAGAACCAAACAAAGAAATGAAAAAAAGAAGAAGGAAAATAATTGATCTGGAGAGAGAGAGAAAGAGAGAGAGAGAGGGATGTGGACTGTCATGGAGCCAGAGACCATGTGGTGGATGTTTGCCAAAGAATTAGTCCCCGATCGGGACTTCTATAGCCACCATTTTAACCTTACAATGTTGAATCTAGGGCGGTAGATAGTGGCGATGGAGGGAACATACGTGGTGTGTTATCGTTATCGCTGTTCATTAGGGCGTCAGTGAGTCGCATTTGGCAGCGAGATAGAGAGAAACTCCACCCTAATTTTCAGATCAGCCACTATTGTTAACCAAATGATAATGAAAATGAGCCAGATCGAGAACTGTAGGTTGCGTCGCTATCGTATGGTGGTTGTCACTGTCTAGATCTGAGCAGTGGTACTGAAGCTATCTTCAAAAACCAGAATTACCAGCAGTGACAGCCGCAACGCGCTACCGCCCTACGGCGTTACTATGTCGATATGCAAAACTCTCATCTTTGTTCTTTTTATTTTGATTTTCACTTTGATTTTGATTTGTGATTGGTGGTGTTGTTTGGTGGCAGATGGTGGTAGTGGTATTGTTTAGCAATGGCGGTGGTGGAGTTAGATTGGTGATAGATAGTGGAGGAGGGAGAGCCAAAAAAAACAGTGGAGGAGGGAGCCAAAAAAAAAAAAAAAAGGGTGTTGTAGAGATGGAATAGGGAAGGTTTAGGTTGAAATGTCTATTTTACGGTTCAAAGTTGACCACATGTTGTGCACATGACTATTTTCTATTAAATATTTTAACAGAGGTTATTGATTGGACCAAAATGAAACCAAATTAAAAATGAAGGGTTAAAATCGAGCAAATTGAAAACAGAGGGATGGAAGTGACATAGGAGGTAAAATACATGGACTATTGCTATAATTTGCCCTTAATTTTATCAATTTAAATCCTAATCTTTTGATTTATTTTCAATCTAAATCATCTACCTATTTTTATTAAGTAAAATCGACAAAAAAAAAAGTATTTTAGTCACTAAACTTAAAGGAAAAAATGTATTTTAGACATTTTATGTATATCTACATTGAGTTTAATGACTAAAATATATTATTTCCATCAGTTTTGCTTGAAAGAAATAGATGAATGGTCACTATAACAAACTGCACATTTGGTGACTAAATTTGGCAACCAAAAAAAATTTAGTCGCCAAAAATAGCACTTTTGGCGACAAAAATTTATTTTAGTTGGTATTGGTTGAAGATTTTAGCTACTATATTATTTTAGTCGAGATATAATGTTCATTGGCAACTAAAAAAACTTTAGTCGCTAAATACAACGTAATAGGCGACTAAATTTTTTTTAGTTAGTGTTAGTTGACATTTTACGCTACTAATTCTTCATTTAGTCGCCGTATATTGTTATTTGCCGACAAAATAAATTTAGTCACCAAATAATGGGGAAATTTTGATGAATTTTTGGTGACTAAAATAATT